TGTCAGCACAAGCGGCTGAAAAGAGCTAAATTCTTATCAGCTGTTGGAAAGGAGGAAACAGGAGCTGTTGTTTACAGAGAAGTCGGACGCTTTTCCCCCTTGCAGCCCCTTCTGCCCTCCCTGCCAGTGTTGCATGACACCAACTTCACGGCTGGGGCTTCCTCTGGCCCTGTCCCGCTTTGTTCCCTCGGGGCTTCACTCAGCATCCTTCCGAGGGCCGTGCTGCCGCCGGGATGGGGGCCGGGGAGCGGGGAGAGATGGGGTCCCGACCTGGCCACAGGGCCGCACCAGGATGCCGCCCCCTCGCCACACCTGCGGGCCAGCCCTAAGATCTTTCAAAGTCACAGAGGGGAGAAACAACAGTAGAGGCAGCGAGCAAACCATGCAGGGCGCCGGCCTGACCGCTTGCAGGATGTGACTGCAGGGCCGGGCTGGTGCAGGTCACCGTGCCCAGCCTGCACCCCATGGCCTGGTAACCCCGGCGCTGCCACCTCCTGCCCTTGCTGCTGCAGCTCTTATGCGGTCCCAGTTCTCAGGCAGCTTCAACATCCTCAGTCCCAAGCTGCAGTAGAAAAGTGCATTTTCATACCATTTTTCGTTTTTTTCCAAGATTGCCAGTCAGATGCTTGAGACAAGCCCCACCCAGCAAGCAGGTCCCACCTATACCTGCAGGACAAGGTTGCCCAAGTCATTTACCTCCCATACAAACAAGTAAGTTAGCACAGGCTGCTCTTCCCATGCTCATGACAAACAGAGGCCCGGTTTTAAGATGTAAACCCATGATCATACAACATAACTGTGCCCTAGCAAACCTATATGGTGACAGTAGTGTATCCATGAGGGTTTAAGAGTGAAGATGAATATGGTCACTTTATGAGGCCAGCTGATGGAGATAGAAGGAAAAAACACAGTGAGATGGGGATGTCCAGACCTTTCATCAAGTAGAGCCATCCACCCAAATGTCTTCAGCCCTACACAGTCTGGCCAGATGCTGAAGGGGTTAAAATACTGGGCTGGGGGGACTTTGCTTCATCTCCTGGGCACCTGGGCTCTCCAGAAATATTCAAAAAAAAGAAGGCATGGATGGGAGAACACAAAAAAACAGGGCAAGAACCCTCCTGCAAGCACCGGGCTGGCCACTTGGCATCAAGCTACTTGTCTGCCTTCAAAAGTGTTTTTATTTTGGCCTGGACAGCTGGGTTATTTGAGGTGAAAGGAGGTCAGTTTGTCCATAAAACAAAAGCCCCATTCCCTTTCATCCCTAGAGGGGGGGGGAGGGAAGAGAAACCATGGGAGGGACATGGATGCTCCTCTATACATAAAGGGAGAGGAAGAGGTGTGACAGCAGGAGAAGAGCTCAACTCCTCACCATGCTGGTAAGACCAGCCCTGGACCCACTGCCTTGGCTGAGCTTCAGTGTGGGGCTCATAGGCAGAGGAAAGGTAGAAGGGGAGATGAGGAAGGGCAGCTGACATACAAATCCTCGCCGCTCGGCTCAGCAAGAGGAAGGAAGCACACCCAGGGCCTTCCTAAAAGCACCGCCTGCCTGCAAAACCCGGGAGGCTGTGAAAACATCCCACTGCTCAGCTAGGACAGGGCAGCTCAGTTGCCCCCAGCTAGCTGCAAAGCCACCAGCAGTCCAGCCACCTGCCCGAAATTACACAGCCCAAACCTTGGCTGCTGATGGATGTGGGATCCCTGTGTCCAACCTCAGCAGGCAGCATCAGTCTCATCTGTCTGAGCATCCAGGCTGGGAAGGGACATCCCAGGTCATCTCCTAACTGTGCAGCACCTCCTGTGCCCTGCACAGGCAGACTAGGATGAGTTAGGCTGGCTCTCAACTCCAAAAAGCTCCCTGTTACTTGAAAGTGACTTTTTCATTCCTTTTCCCAAAGCAGAGGCAAGACTGAAAAATGCAGAGCACCATGTGCAGCTGCTATCTCCATCCTCTTCCTCCTCTTTGGGTCTTTCCTGTAGTCAGTCACTCTGCGGTTTCCTGGGTAGCAAGACACAGTCTTCCCTCTCCCAAGCAGAGAAGGGGACCAAAATACCAGAACAAGGCATAACATGAGGCACATTCACCCACAGCTTACTGAGCATCCACCACTACTGGTGTACTCTTTCTCCTCTCAGCTTACCAGCTAAGCCATTGTACCACTAATGACAATTGTCCAAACCCCCAAAGCATCCTGCTGGAAAGCCCCCTCCAGGAAACTGTCCTGAAGACACCTGCACTCTGCAGACAACAGCAATGCTGCATTTTTTTTTGCACTAGCTGCACTGCACAAGGGTAAGACATCACTCTTCTGTGACAGGTTCACCAGCAGCCAGCCAGGAGGCCACATAGCATATTTTGGCAGCAAGCTAGAAGCTGCTGCTATACCCAAGCGAAGCCTGCCCAAAAAGGGGGATTGCTTAGCTCCCTGCCTGCTCTCTGGACGCAGCATTTAGGCAGCAAGGTTTAAAAGCAAGCCAGGGCCCAAGCTCAACAGAGAGAGCTGGCTGTTATTCTTCTTCTTTGAATTACTTGCCCGCATCACTGGTGAACCAGTCACCTGTGGCTCCTCAGCAGTATTTGACTGCCCTGAGCATCAAATGCAGGACACAGTTTTCCCCCCAGACTAGACAGTCCCCAGAATTGGTGAGTGCATGTTATCCTGAGCATGTTGCTCTTCTCACCCTCACAAAAAGCACCAGGCTGGGAAACCCCTTCTTTCCCTCCCAGCCTGGCCGCACCAAAGCAAGGCATGGGGCGAAGGCAGCACCCTGTCTGCCACCAGCAGCTGCAGAGCACTTACTGAAGTAGAAGCCCCTGTCCCCGCAGACGAACTGCAGCGTGTCCACCAGCTCCCCGCCGCAGAGGGTCTCTGCCGTGCCGTACGCCGCAGCCGAGTCCAGTGCATAGGCCAGGAAAGCCAGCAGCAGCAGCAGCATTCGCCTCGCCGCACACATCCTCTGCACCTGGGGACACGGACATGGCATTAACACAGTGCAAGAGACCCCCCTCTGTCACCTCCCCCCCTCCTCCTCATGCCCCGCCTGCAGCACACCTGGGGTTTGATGCCCAGACATGTCAGGATGCTGCAGGGAAGGACCAGCAGTGCTGAGCTGGCCACTGGTGTGAGGCTGGTTCCCCACCAGTCAGCCACTCCTGTCAGACAAGGTTCACACTGAAGTGTTTTTTTCATTGGAAAATCTCACTTCTGCTTAACTCTGAAAGGCCTTTATTTCCCTTGCACTTCCAAGAGCATAACTTATCTATTATTTTTTTCCCCCCTCCTTTTATATGGGAAATAATTCAAATTATCATTGGCAGAGTTATTTCTTTTTTCAGTTCTGATGACACATTTTCATGCCCTGCCTGAACGCATGTTTCCCCAAAGCAGGAACAAATAGAGTTTCAAGCTGTTCCAGAGCTGCTTTTGAGGAAAGCTGGGTTTTGCCAGGGAGCAGCGGCCTTCACCCCATGCATGTGAGACCTGCACGACTGAGGCTCGGGTAATCAAGGGGCTGATTGCACAAGCCGTGTTTGCAGATGAGAGCCAGAGCTGAGAAGACATCCCACAGGAGCAGAGCACTCCCATGGGAAACACGCCACACACATCACCAAGGAGAGCCCAGAGGGTAACAGCTGGCGTGGAGGATTGAAAAAGAAACTCCCTGGATATTTGCTAACTAACCCAAAGATTTCCCCTGACTCCACTCCAGCAAACAGCTTTACCTCAATGCCAGCTCCTGCAGGTGTAAAGCAAGGGTGCTATTGCCTCACTGGATGAAGCAAAACACATGGATGGTTCTAAGGCATTAAGAGTCCCTCAGTGATGAACATCACCGTGTATAGGCAGCCAAATAAGGATGGTGGCCAGACAGGTCAGCTCAAAACAGTGAGAAGCATGGTAAAAAAGCAGCTGGCATGGGGCAATGCTAAGTATCAAGCAGAGCATCCCCTCTCCTTGCTAAGGCTCAGCTAAGATGCTGGGTTTCACATGCAGTCTTCATCACCATAGCATCTGAGCAACTCGAGAATAATATCAGTTAATGAATATTACCTCACCCCCCTGGGATGCTTGGAGATGGAGCTGAAGCCCAGGATAGATTAAATGACTTGCCCAAGGTCACGGGGGAAGTCTGCCACGCAGCCAGGAAATTAGCCCAGCTCCCCCGGGGCCCTGCTACAGTCTTGCCAGCAATAAAGCCACCCTTGCTACCAATTTTTTACTAGCACGTAGTTCAAATCATTCCTGCTAGAAATGTGCTGTGCACACAAGTCATGAACTCTTCTGAGCACCAGCAAGAAAATCCAAAACGGAGGCTGCAAAGTCTGGGTGGGCTGAAAGGGGCATTTCGTCCCCCCCTTGGGCTTTGATGCCCATTGTATTGCACAGCCTGTGTGGGCAGAGACCAACACAGCTGGCAAAACCCCTCCAGGACTCCAGACAAGAGAGGCAGCAGCCCTGGGAACAAACTGGGCTCAAACCAGCATGTGATGAGACCAGGACCAGCTTTTCCAATAGCACCAGTCCCTTAGGCCCACCTGGGAGGCTTTGCTCAACATTACACTGAGGAGCAGAAGGATGGCACAGGGCTGTGACTGCACGACACTGCCGAGTTGTAGTGTTTTACCACCAGCATCTTTTCACCTTGACTTTTTTATCGAGCGTCCAACGGGTGTTTGCTGGGCCATCCCAGCATGACCACAGCATCACCTGCACTGCTTGAGTCATGTCCCTAGTGCAGCATCATTGGCAGCTGGATCTCTAAACAACAAGATGGTGATGATCCTGCTCCTTTTTTTATAATTATTCTCCTTTTTCATCTTTTTTTACCTGCCGCTCCTGATTGCTGGTGTCCCCAGGGCACAGGTAACACCAGATGCTCAAAGCCAGGGTGGCAGATGCACACCAGCCAGTGCCACCACCAAAGCCCCTGACATGGGACTTCAGGACACCCCAGTAATTCCCCATCCCCAAACTGGCTTGCTCTGGCTGTGAGCACCACAACTAATAAGCAGGCCTCTCCCAAGCCAGAGCCAGCTCCCCAGAAGGGGCTTTCTCAGTGGCAGAGGTGACAAACATCATTTTTCCTCCACATCCAGTGTAAAGAAAGGGTTGAGATGCTCTCAAGCAAGAGGAGAGTGAGGTTTTGTTGGCAGGGCGATATCTGATGCTGGAGAGACCCGATACCTTCTGTGGAAAAAACCTTGCACTCCTCAGAAAATACCTGCTCCTGCACAACCAGCGCCACAAGAACAAGGCAGTCCCTGGCAGCCCACCCTGCCTCCACTGCGAGCTCTTGTAGGGTGCCCACACACCCCATAACTCCAGCCAGGAAGCCCCTCTGAAGCCATGAAGTCAAGGACGGCCCCAGCACTGTCATCCAAGGCTGATGTGGAGGTGTGCAATGCAATGAAGTCTCCCTTCAATTGTGCATCAACCACCAGCCCTTTCCACTGCTGTCACCTTGGCATCTCCCTGCTCGCTCCAACAGCCGTGTAATGAGAAACCAGGCAGCAAAGCAAAAAGCATCTTTATTTACTACCTGGTGCTGCAGTAGGACTCCAGCTTGATGGAGCTGCAACCCAACCCAGCCCTGTAAGCTCTTCCCTCTTGCTTTGGCCCTACTGACCCTGTGGAGAGAGAGCCACCAAGCCTCACCCAAAGGCTAGATAGGCTCCCAAGGTGCTGTCACCAGCACAGCACATCCTGATGACCTTTCAATCAATCATTCTCCCTTCCCACTCCTCCTTAGCAAGGATGAGCAGCACCCATGCAGGAGAGCTCACACCTGCATGGGTGACATAACATAACATGGGTATGCATAGCCCATGACCCAGCTGCAAGCACCATGCCAGCTGTCCAGGTTGCATGTGGCTTCCTTCAGTTGTGGTGACCAAATCCTGCTGAGTATTGTTAGTCTAAGCCCTGTGCATTCCTCTGAGCCTTCACTCTCCACTGGAAGCACTGGACAGCACTGCTTATAGCTTCTATTCCAAGCATTAGGACAAGGACAGAAGCCTCATCTGTGGAGCAGAAGTAAATTCACACCAACGGCTGGAAAACCCTCGGTTTTTATTAAAAAGCCTTGGTCACATGAGAGGTAACAGGAATTAGGCAGTGAGAGGTCAGCAAGGTACTTTCCTGCCAGACAAGGTCCCGTGTCTGCTTGGAGAGAGGCTACACCCCACAAAGGTTCATTCCTGCCAAAGCAGGTTGAATCTGCCACGCCAGCTGCCATTGCCTCTCACACACCAGCAGAGAGCTCAAATGCTCCAGGATGTGGTTTCAACTAGGGGCCATGGGAACAGCAGTGCCAGGCATGCTAGGTACCCAACCTGGGCACCAGTTCCTCCTAATGAAGGCTTGGACCCCACATGGCATGTAAGAGGGTGATGCAAGAGGAATTTCTGGGCTGCACAGGTGCCCTGGATCATACTGGGAATCACACCTGAAAGCAGCCTTCTCAGCGCAGGAGAGGCTCAGACAAGCGATCAGAGCATGATGCTGGCCTCTCCTTGCAAGGAAAGGGTCTGCTTTGCTCCCCATCCTTCATGTCCCTCTCCTGCCTTCCCCTGCATCCCTAGGTCCCTACCCAAAGCTAGGCTGCTGCTGGAATCAGCTTGGCCACAACCTACTGCAGGCAGGATGGTCCCAGCTGCCTTGGGACTCCTGCACATGCCCGCCTCGCAGCACAGGCTGCTGCACCCATGGCTGGAGAACCCCAAAAACCTCTCAGCAGTACTTAGCCAGCACGTACAAACCAACAGAGAGGGTCCTCTCTCAGAGTGGCTGTGGTGTGCTAGGAGCAAGCCCGAAGGCAAGCCTGCAGTGGAGCCACTTTCCTGCCCAAGGCTGTTAAATTGTTTGTTCAGGATTTGCTGCAGAATCAGTTGGATCGATGATTTCTGTCCAGCTGCTGGGGAGCTGGGGGCCAAGACACCACAATGTGCTACAAGGCTCTTTTGCCAAATCTCAGAGGACAGCTCAGGCATCCCTTGCATCCAGGCTTGTGCTAAGCCAACCAAACCATGGTGCCTCTCTTGGGCAACAAACATTTCCCCAAAAATGGAGACTAAACCTCCTGTCTGACCCAATTCCTTCTTCAGTCTGGCCTTCATTACAATTTAATATGAACAGAACAACGTAGGAGGGAATTGACAGATGGCCCAGTCTGCAAAATTTGGATTTGGACAGAAAAAAGCAAACCAAAAAAATCTTGCTTCTTTGAGGAGCAGCACAGCATTTAAAAGGGAGCACAGCAAAAAGTCATCAGCTCAAATCCAGCTGTATGTGCAGGAGGGGAAAACCCCAGTTTGCACATATCAGCCTCCACCACCCTCCATCCCTCCCAAAGAAAGTGGGCAGACTGATGTTTTGCTACTCTGATGATTGCCTGCGAGAGATGCTGAGTGTCTCCCTGTTTTCCTCCTCTCAGAGGGCAGCCCCAGAAGAGCAGGGAGCTGATCCGGTTTCGAGTACAGCTCTCCTGGAGGGGCAGGACACAGGCACATGCCAACCTCCCACATGCCAACCAAGTGCCACCCCTGCCCACGGGCAACCTCACACAGGGCCACAGCACCCCAAGGTGCCAAGTGGCAAAGGGCTAGTGGAGGCCAGCAGGAAGAGGCAGCTGAAAACCACCCAGGCTGCATCTTGGGCAGAGGCACTGGGATGAAGCACCCAGCGGTACCCGAAGGCAGAGGAGCCACCGTGTGCTGTGCTGCAGAAAAGCCTCCCTTTTAATCTAAAAGAGAAAGTATTAGATTTCCAACCCTCAGCTTAGAAGAAGCAAGCTTCAAAACACAAAACTTTTGACCATCGAGCTGTCACACAAATAAAACTGACCCAAGACCCAGAGTTTTGCTGTTTAGCTCAGGCTTGAAAAAAAAACCCAAACAAAACTCCTGATTCTTGGCACCTGGCTCGCATGACATTTATATGGCTGAGGTTGGCAAT